GAACAGTATCCATGAAAGCATGCTCTTAGGGAACAAGCCAATACATAGGTAATTAATAAAGTAATTACATTATGAGATTGGGGTGTGGGACAGAGCTTATAAATGTTGCAGGCCAAATGTACTTCACGTTGTTTTCATAACTCCACTTCTCCTTAATACACCTGTGACTCAGAGGACTGGAAACTGAAATCAAAGTCTCTTAACCCATGTGGACTGAAGCAAGTACTGGAGATTAAAACCCAATGGCCATCTCCCGCAGCTGAAAACCCATTCTGCCGTAGCTGTATGTCACCTCTGTCAGTTTCCATATGACTGAACAAAAAAGCATGATAATGCAGTGATGACATTATTGCACTCTGCCGGAGACTGAGAAATTCCTGCAGCTTTTCCACAGCCAGGGATTCAGATCAGAAAAGCCTCTAGAAATCAAACTTTAGTTTGCATGAGGGATGAACATCTGTCCTAGCCAGGAGTTTGTGCACAGCAAATACACTTCACAGGAGAGAAACACCAGGACTGTCTGTATGACAGCAAGGAGGCTTTTTCCCTGGAGAGGCACCAGACAGACCCACTGGAAGTGGCATGGAGACACCGGCAGTCTCTGAGTTGATCAGACAAGTGGTGAAGTTGCCTAATTATCATCTCTGCTTGCATCTAATTCTTGTTGAACTAGCACTTGCTGCAGAGGCTGTTTTCAAGTCACCCACTGGACAGTAAAACCCTGCAGTTTGCTGACCTGACAGCACACAGAACAGGGAACTCGCTGCAAAGGATGGGAAAAAGTACACTGCGTACTCACCTGGAAAAATGGAACAAGACCAGCTGAGATTGTCTCCATCCAGTATTTATGGAGAAACCTAATGATGAAGCAGTGGCTGACCTAGAAAATATTCATTAACACTAACTGCAATGCCAAAGGTAGCAAATATAGAATTCTCAAGTAATAGGGACTGTTGCTCACAGGGCCCTACTTCAGACACTAGGCAATGTAGTTGAAACAATCATTAAAAATTTGAATTATAAAGAAATACCACCTAGCTGACAGAGATGTGACAGGCAGAACAACTCAGTACAGCTTTCTAAATGAAATGGACCATTGATTGGTCTAGTTTTGCAACTCATTAGTGGTCCAGTTACACTGAACTAATCAGTGCTGCAGCAGTCATGCACAAATGTACCACTTTGTTCTTTAAAGGCAAAGAAAAAGATCAGAACTGTGAGCTGTACCGAGCATGCTGGGAAACTATAGTTACCACAAACCCCAACACGGAAGCAGGAAGGGGCACCTTTCCAGAGCAGAGGTCCTCTGCAACTTATGTGGTACCACCAATATGAATGTCACGTGCTAGGGCTTTAGCAAAGTTCACGACACTCATGATCGCATTGCCAGTCAACAGTGCTACTACTGTGAGGTCTTTTCCTCTCACATCTAAGGAGATTAGGCTCCAGTTGGCTTAGGAAAATCCATCTGTTGGGATATTAGACTAAGGACTGCATTTTGATGGCTTAAAATCACAAGTTCCCAACTGCAGCAAGTTCCCTGTATTGATTAACTCAAATGATCTTCACAGGCGCTCTAGTCTTCAGCACAGTACCTGAATCAGGTCTTCAGTTCCTGTTCAAAGCTTAATGTTGTCCTGCTCCCTGAAACATTGGTGCACCTTGTATCTGTTGTGTGATGATCCTGTATGTTCAGCTCCAACCCCCAATCTTCTCCAAACATACCCCTGCCTCTTTGCTTTAAGTTACACTGCCTCTGAGTCACTGATCAATTCTATCTTTTCAGGATTAATACTAATCTTAGTAACAGTTCCTCAGTTGAAAACAAGCTTGCAATTCCATTCTTTTACAGCTCCTGGGCTGTATCTACTTAAAAATACAGCATGTGCACAGTTTATGGTAGAGGACCTCTCCTGTCTGCCAAAACACCCTACACCAACCAGTTGCGTCTCTCACACCTCTATATAAATTGCCATTTAGGGGGGTTCATTGCACCCTAATGCTTGGCACATCTCCACTTCTGAAAGTGTCTGAGCTCCAGGCACACCAAACTTCACCCTGGCCTGCTTTCAGGCCAAGTGTTCTTTGACAGGCAGAGTTCCAGCAGCTGTCATGAGATGCACGCGAGATGAACAGTGAGTGCAATTCCAGCAAACCATGAATTGTAAAGACCCAAAGTTTCAGAGGGGAATTTATTGTGTGGGAGCATATCCCAATATATTTTGTTAACCATTCATGAGGATAATAAAAAATAGAAGCTTTTTAAATGACAAAAATATAGTTACATATAGTACAGATTTTCATCTTGCATTGAAGCAGAGCAGTAATAAAATGCTCACTTGTGTTTTCACAGTTAGTTTGCATTGCTTCTCTAGGTTAAGGAACAGCAACTCAAATCTTCCAGTCAGAACCAGTAGTTTCACAGGGTGATCATGAGGGTGAATGTTCTGTGCATTTTGATACCCTTTACAATAGAGCAAGCATACTGGATACATCTTGGAACCACATACATTTCCAGAGGCACCAGCTATACTTGAAACGAGTCACCCTGGCTGCAACTGAAAGACTTTTGTATCAGAATATGTTTTTAGGCCCAGTTCAGAATCGCATCTATGGAATACTCAAGAATGTGCTTAAATCCCATTTGGTTCAAAGGGCTCCAAGTTGATCCTCTGGGACCACCTGGGACCACCTCATAAGCACTGCACACTGACATGAAGCACTAACCAGCATTTGATTGCATGGGTAAGCTGCTTTCAAGACCACAAAGGATTCAAACATTCTTCAGCACTCCGCTTACTTGAGACCTAAATGCATTCACTGCATGCATACATTTATGTACATACTACACACATTTAACACCAGCCCCTCCCCACAATATTATTGCAATAATTCGTTGCTGGTATAACAGTTTATATACCAAGTTTCACTTAATTTTCTATAAACATAGAAAAAAACAGCTGGAGAGAGCTAGAACAGCTTTCAATCAGTCACTATATTGGCACTGAAAGCTTTATTTTGAAAACTTAAAGCAGCAATACTGAATAAATAGACAGAATGATTGTTTTGTCATCTCCATACAACTGATGGCCTTCATCCAAAACATTAAAATACTGTAGCAAATAGAATAAACATGCATGTTTCAATGTCCTAAGAAAAAAAAAAAAGGAATATAAAAGTAACACTTTTGATACTTATTTTAATACAGTACAGACTATTAGAGACTATTTTCTGGAAAAAATATCTGAATACAGTTCGTTATTTACATGGATCATTAAGGCCCAATTCGCTCAAGTTAATGCACATCAGGAATTTATATGCTTCAAGATAACTCACTAAAATTTACAAGATCAGGTTTTTTACTCATATGATCCCAGTTCACTAAAATAATGCAATACTCTTCATGCTAAAAACAAGGCAATTATTGCCCCAAGAGGAGACTTTTATTTCACTAAAGGATCTTTCCTGTCTTACCTCACAACAAAAGCATTTGTGCATATTGCTAATGCTAGTGGTAGTTCTCTTCTTCAAGAGCTTCCTTCCAACTTGATAGGGTTCAGAAAAGCAAGTAATCTCAAAGCTAACAGACCATTTCCAGAAGCAATTCAGGCACTTGGGAACCCAAGTCCCACCCAAAGGTAATGGGAAGCAGGTTCCTAGCTGATTTTTCAGACTGGGACTCAGGTTTCTCCCTTGTTCAGAACATTTATGCTCGCCTTAACCTACTGGCTTTTCAAACTATCACCATTCTCAGCCCCCCTTTTCCCTAACGACATAGCATCACCAGCAAGAATAAACTGTATCCTCATGGATGAGAGAGGTAACACAGTTAATTTCCATTAGTAGTAAGTTACAGGAGTTCTCCATATAAACTCCTTGTGCACTGGAAAATAGTGCTTGTGTAGTCAACTATTTAACGCAAGCAAAACACCCTGTTTTTATCATGCTGCCCAGTAAACCATATGGCACTTGTTAAAATTAGTGTGTGTAGCTTCCTTGCTGCTAATGCCCCATAACCAGATTTGAAACACTTCTGAAACGTGTTTTTCTACATTTGTAAAGAAAGAGTGAGGTTCTGCAGTTGATCAGAAGCAAAACTCTTAATGCCATGTGAGGAATTTTTATAACTGTAATACATTGTTCAGTTCACATTAATGCAAGGGCATGCCATTTCTTTTTGGTATATTTACACAGAAGATGAAAATGCTACAGAACTTCAGCCTGGGTGAAATTTAACAAGAGGAGCATGGTGAGGGGCAAGGGAGTTTGTCAGTGTCTCACAAATGACAGGTCTGGGTACCAAAGCCTCTCCTTTGACATAACAGTGGCTGAAGCTGTAAATGTTTTCCAGGTCACCTTGACATATGCTAAAGCCCTGACAAGGAAGGCCCACTCAGAGATGATGTGGTGGCTACTCCTGAGCCAGCTCCAGGCTGGCCTCTCCATCAAACAGCTGCTGCAGTCAGCAGGTGCTATTTTTTAACTTAAACAGCAAATTCCTTCCTTGATTCTATTACAAAGCCATAACTCAAGTCCTCCAAAGATGCTCTTATCCTTCCTTTTAAACCTTTTCCTCCCCCCTCCCTCTTATAGAATAACATGACAGAGAAAAAGAGCAGTTTTTATGATGCAAGAGTCCAATTCAGCTCAGACTGACATCTGTGGGAGATGGACCAGCCACAGAGTATGACAAAAACATCAGCTGGGTAAAAGTATGCTGATCTGCCTTAAAAATACTTCACCTCAGCACTGGACTGAAGTTGCAACAGACTTTTCCTTGTGTTTTCCCCCACCCCCATGCAGCATAATTTGGGCCAGACTTTGCAAGGTGCTGAGTGCCTCAGTTCTCTAACATCAAGAGGTGATGCAAGATACCCACTGGAGAGGGCCATTTCATTTCTGTAAATTGAACTCACAATGTAAGGCATATATGCTCAAGTACCTTGGACAGATATTGTCCCGAAACTATGTATATTTTACTTTCTTTTTTAATATATATATATATATATACACACATTCTTTTTTTTTTTTTAATACAAACTTATGGGCACAGTGGACATGAGCACAGAGTTGTGATAAATGAACAGTAAAATCTGTGAGCACTGCCAAGATTCCTCAGGTAAGAACATCTCACTTTCCAGTTTGCTCACAAAGGAAAATAAAAATAATTAAAAAAAGACCTGATAAGTTAAACAGTAAAAATTCAGAGTTCATTTGGAAAGGTCCTTTATATATTCACAGCCTTATCTGGTGCTGTTAGTCTAAATACAGCAGCATTTTTAGAATATATGATGCCATTAATAAGTGGAAAAGGAAAAAAAATGCGTTAAACACTCAAGAGTCCTTCATCTTCTACTACACCTTATAAAACTTCCACTTGTCAGGAAGCTCCTTTTTTAAAAAAAGGAAACTTCATGTAACATTTATCTGCATCTCAGTAAACCAACACAAGAGGATGCCAGGAGTTAAAAATTCTTAAGTAATTTCTATGGCAAAAAGATTGACGTTTCCTACCAGTGGCAAAATCCTGACCCTCTCAAGGGCATCAAGAGTTCTGTCGTTCTGGCACTAACTGAAGTGCAGGTATTCTACACAGTGGCAAAAGCATGGTGACCCCTCTCACCTCCAGGTGGGGATGAGGATATGAGTTGCTCTTAGAGCAGAAAATCTGAATGCCGCTGGGTAAAGCCCATCCCTTCTCATCCACGAGGCCAGCCTCTTAACGTATACGGTGTGTTCCACTGATGCCAGTAACTTTCTCTACAAACTTGGGGTCCACTCCAGCAATCTAATTTCAAGGCCTGTAGCCAAAATGCTACTTGGTAGTGTCTTACTTTCTTCATAAAGCCATTCTGTCTAATTCTTGCTCAGCTCTGATTGTATTTGAGTGACATCAAGATATGATAATATTCTCTTTTCATGTGCTTTGTAAAAAATGACTACCAAACCCGTGCATTTCCTGTTTGTAAGCTTTATATACTGTAAGCGACTGAGCAGCAATACATCTTCCAAAGGGACTAAATGTCAGCCATTTAAGACTGGGGACCTGGAATGAAGTCCTGGCCCCAACTCAGGGCAGGGGACTCTGCTAGGTTTCTTCCCTCCACAAAACATGAATGAATTCTGGAAGGCTGGAAAAGGATACTCGTTTGTTTTGTGGGTGTTTGTTGGTCTTTTTTTCTCCCCCAATAGCAAGATTTACCGCAAAACAAGAACACTGTAACGGCTAGTGGAAAAAATAAAGTACAAAATCACACGTAGTGAAAGCCTCCTGCTCTCTTTTGGTAAGATATATGAAGACAACTTCTTACACTGTTCTTTTCTCAAAAGGCATATACAATGTGGCAAAATATTTCAAATATACATTCTATATAATAAAATATCATCTAACTAGTGCATCCTCAATCATATACTGGAAATACTTTTACCAAGCCAAGGTTTAAATTCCATAAATCTTTTGAACACTAGGTGGTTCATTCAAGGCAGATTCAATGGCAAGTAAATCCCACAAGCTCACTTTTCAAGCCTTAGAAGGTAGCTATGGATGGAACATGGCATAATATGACCCACAACAGAAATTAACAGAGTTAGTGGTGAGAAACCATTTTAATGGTTCGGCACTCCACAGAACTCTGCACTGCAAATCACTGTATTTGATCAAACGGTGGATGTTTGTACCCACAGACTAAAGTCACCTTGTCAGACTGACATATAGCCATACATGATTATTCACAAGTTAAAAATAAAAATATAAAAGGTCAACATTCACACGTCCATTGATTAAAGGGAATAAATTAAACCTCAGGTAAGTTGCATATGTGTTTTCCTTCACCCTCAGTCTTTTATTTATGCCTATACAAGGAACAATACTTTCCCAAACACTTCTGAAGTGGAAAAACAAATGAAGGTTTTTGCACTCTAGCTGTGTTGACAGCAAGGTCATCCTTGCCAAGTATGAACTGAGAGAGTTGCTCTGTCTCTTTAGCATCAGTGCACAGGGTATGGCTCCAAGTGGTGTGTTGGAGGAAGAAGAGAAAACAATACGGTGGCTTAGCAAAGAAACAAAACAAAAAGGAAAAAAAAAATCTTCTTCCATTCATCATTGGCAGAACAAAACAAAAGTGTATCTTGTCCAGGGTACCTTGCTAGGTCCTCTCCAGAAGAGGTATGTACTGTCATACGTAAATGCCCTCCGGGTTAAAACCAGATGACAGGGGATTCTGTAGAATCCGAAGGTTACTGGGGAGTTGCCTCGATGAGCCAGGGCGCTTCAGTGACCCAGACTGAAATGTTGGCTCTGTGTAAGAAAAACGGCAGTTAGAAAAGTCCTCACCAAGGTGGTGTCTCTAGAACACTTCTTTCTGCCTGGTGCAGTGTGTACTTAGTTCGGCACGGAAAAATTACATACCATATACAACGGCAGTTAAATGCCTGACTGGGATGTGATGAGATCCAAGACGCACACTTCCTACTCACTTCAAAATAGGATACCCCTGCAAAACGTAACTGCCCTCCCAGGAGGAACATGCACAGTGATACACACTGATACATCTACACAGTAACATGCAGAAAGTGCTTGAGCCTACATGTCACTCACAGCTTCAGCTTCCTGCTCGCTTAAAAGAGAAAGTCCATGCAAACACTGACTTTCAAAGGCCTGGCTGCTTCCTCTCCCACCTCCCTACCCTCCCAATGCCTTTCAGTTAGAAAGTTTTCTAAAAGAAAGGTCAGAATCAGCTAAGGAGAATGCTGAGAGAAACAGGCCTCTTGCAAGCAGGCACTGCATAAGCACAAGACAGCAGAGGCTGAGCCGTGCACCAAGGGAGTTTCTGCTTATGTCACAGTTCTGATATGCATTCAAAGTGCTCCCATGCTCCTGTCTGGGAAATTCTGAATTCAGATGTGGGCATGCGCAAAATGCACTGATCTCACTAGAGGCAAAGTTAGTCTGCACATGCTGCAACAGTCATATGCATAGGACTTCTGGATGGCGGGCAGCCCAGCTGGATTAGCTCCTATTCCCACGTGGCTGCTGTCTGGGATTTCTTAAGATCCAGATGCATTCCTTTTTCTACACATTCCACCAGAAGAAGATGATCCCAGATGAACAGCAATGTCAGGCATGCAATCATTCTGTGTGCCAGCTTATGTGCCTGCAGCCATAGAGGCCACACTTGAAAGCTACTGGCCTAATGGGTTACTGATGGGTCAAACGCATGCCAATGCACAGCAGGACAGAAGTTATCTACATACTGTGCTGTATTTATAGCTTGCTAAACTCTTGGAATGAAAAGAAATATTTGACACTGTGCTTTCTTAGTATTTCACTAGCTTCTTTGTTAACAAAGCAGTCACTTAATGTATGACTGCTACCATTAAGGCAGCAGGTAAACACATTGCCATTCCCTTCCCCGCTGACCAAAAACATTATGAGTGCTGCACCTCTCTCAAGCTCCACGTGTGGGGCTTCCACCTCAACAGGGTCTGCTGGCAGCACCGTGACCTTCGTTCCTGTTTGCTGGATGAACTGTTGCAGGTTAACCTGTCGCAGCTCCTTTGTCAGTTGCTCCAGTTCTTGCTCCCTGTCCTGCCAGGAAAGAAAACATCTGTTTAGCAGCAGTGGATAGAACACTAAAACAGCTTTTCAAGACTGTTTGCAATTGGGCAACTAACACTTCTCCTTTTGATGAGGAAGTCCCTGACTTTCAAATCTAGGTGCAAATGAAAGAGTTGAAAGGTATTTTACCCCCATAATTTTTTCCCCTAACTATCTTGTGTAAACAGAATTATACACAAACTCACACTACGACTGGGGGAGAATAGTTTTGTAGATCTGATCTAGGAATAGTCCCCAGTAGCACAGCCCTCATCCACTTTAAGCTTATGGTAAGTTACAGTTGAGGCTGAATCCAACAATAAGAAAACCAACACAATTGATCTGAATTAGGACCTTTTAAATGGCAATTGCTTTGCCACTGATGCGTTTGACCCGTTCAGTCAACACACATCATGCAGCTGGCCTCAGCTTTCTGTGATACACTTGTGCTCCCATTCATTTGCTACGAGCTTTTGCAGAAACTGGACTGAGAAATGGAAGCCAGCCCCCCCCCCCCCCCCAAATTTCAAGACAATTCTACAGAAAAATTCTGCAATTTATTTTAGGCCCATGAGACTTTACAGCTGGGCACGTGGAGACAGGAAATTCTTAACTGTCTGTACTTACTACAGCTCCATGCTTTATGAGATTGTTACAAAGTTGCCAATGAAGAGAACTATTGTTTTTTAGGTCTGAATCGCTGAAGTACCCAGGTTAGCAGAACTAACATCATGAATAACTTGTTTTTCACATTACTTAACCTCCACAGGAAATAAGGTAAAAAAATGTTAACTATTGCTCCAAATCTTACAGGTTTAAGCTCCAATTTAATAACTAATTGTTAAACTTTAGTGAAACCTTTTACCTGAAGAAGCAGGGTGGGATTTTTTTGTTTGCTTGGGTTTGTCCTGTTTTGTTGTTGGTTGTTTGGTTTTTTTTACTTTCTTTAAGTCTTTGTCTAAAAGCAGGGAGAGCAAAGTGCTGCTTCTGATCCTTAACAGCACATAGCCTCATATTGCTGGAAAGTAATGTTACTGAGGTGGCTAGAGAAAAGGAATGGAAGAGAAGAGGTAGCACAAACTACTAGAGATTTCTCCCAAGCTACTAATAATTCTGCCTTCCTGGTTTTAGCGCTTAAAACCTACTGAATTTAACAGGAACTTTCCCAAGAAAGCAAATGGAAAAAAAATAAAGCCATAAAGATTTTGAACACTGTCATAGCCTCACTGTGTGTTACTGAGGACAGGGTAAGACATATAAAGAAGACTTTATGCTTTCTGTTAGTGCAAATCCTTGAGCACAGTGTGTCTGGAAACTTGAGACAGATAAATAAGGCCAAAACTACATACAGTTTTCATCCATTTTGCTTTGGATTTTTTTCCCCTCCTCATTTAGTGAAACCAGCTTATACTGACATGTTTTTAGGTGTTCAGGAGGAAGGATATAAAATCCCTTAGCATTTTACCGGCAGAATCGCCTTATTGCAACTGCAGCACTGTGGAACATCGTAACTGTGAGTGCCACGAATACAGCAACAATCACAACTCAAACTGATATGTGGTGCCTCAGTCCTATCTTATGTGGCACATTAAAATCCCAGAAGCCATAATCTTCCTTTCACCTCGCCCAGCTAGCAGCTGGACTTCCATTTACATTTATTCTTTTGTGCTCTAACACAAGTTCCAGGTGACACCATTAACTTTTAGCAAGGAGGCACAGACTGGATTCTCGTTTGACACACATGAACCACAAATGCCTGAGGTGTACAGAAAATAAAATCCTGAACACCTGAAATCCTGAACACCTGAAAGAGGAGATGCTATTCTTTAACACAAAGCCCTGTAAGCTAACACTTTAACTCTACATCTATCTATCCAGGTACTGTTTCTGGACTGTTCTTTTTAATGCATCTATTTTGGTGGCGGACAAATCTAGCAGGAATCAGCAGTTTAGCCTCAGGGAAGGCTGTGATGGTGTAAATTTCCCTGAAATTCAACAATATGAAGCACTGGAGCTACCAAGACCTAGGACCTAAATCCTCAAAATGTCTATCCCCAAATACAGGGGTTTGAAGACAAATACTTGTAAAGGCATTAGGCTGAGAGCACTATGGTCCTGTTTAACACCCAGCAGTACAACAATCCCCTGCAAACCTTGAGCGTTCATGCAGGAGGTATTATTTGTCTGAGGTGCAGAGCACCTCTCTGGAGCAGGGTGAGGCAGTTAGATGCACTGCCGTGGGTGCAGCCATATTTCCCTGAGCTACTTTGGCTCTGGTGTTTCTCAATCACGGACTGCTGCACAGTGCAGACAGGCGCCGAGTGATTTCTCAGAGGTTACCAGGCAGTCAGGGAATGGTAGCAAACTAAAGCCATGACTGGTAGGGAAGAAACTGAGGCAGCATGTAAATAAATGGAAAGTGTTGTGGCACTTGGTACTAACCCTGCAGGCCACCCTGAATGGTCAGGAACACATCCACCAAACATTTGCTGATTTACCTGGAGACAAAGAACTAACTACTGCTTCTTCTTTTTTTTTCATGTGGTTTGAATGAGCAAAATACCCACAGATAAAATCGAAACTGTCTGCCCTTAAAACAAAAAAAGTCTGAAATGCAATTTGAAAATGAGGCCAACACTTTCTCTCTTTTATCCCAATTCCCCATGGAGACTTTCTCATGTTTTCTCCAAGCCTGTGAAAGAGAAATTTGTTATAGCCATGCCTTTGGCTTTCCTTTTGCTATGGATAAAAAAAGAAGACAGCCTTACCTGTAACCGTTTGGTAGCTTGGCCCAAAGACCGTTCTACAGCTTTAATGCCGTTTTCCAGCCTCAGACTCTGCTGACCCTGAATATCAATTTCACCCTTCACCTTCTCGATCTTCTCCTTGACCTCTTCTTCATTCACCTGAGACTCTTGAACTTCCCGCTGCAACTTCTCTGCTTCAAGGCCACTTTCCATGTTGTGGATCTGAGACACATAGTCCTTCAGCTTGCTCTCGCACTCCAGGATCCTCTGCCTCATCTCCTGAAGTTGTTCCTTCAGTTGTTTTTCATTCTCCTGTTCGATCTGCAGCTCATTTTCCCAGAACTCTTCCTCTTCAATCTCTACTTCATTCCTTTTGATCTTCTGCTCTAGTTTGAGAATTTCTTCTTCCAGGCTGGAATTATACTTCTGTTCCCAGTAGCGGATCTCAGCTTCGTTGGACTCCAGCTGTTTCTCAATGCACTGGAGCTTCTCTGTCTGGAGGTGGATCAATTTCTTCAACTCGTCCGCTGTCGTTTTACAGTTGTTGAGCACCTTTTGCTTGAACTCAGACTCCTTGCTCTTCCCAAAGATGTCCATTAACCCTTTGGCCCCGCCGGTGAAGGTGAGGGACTTCCTTTTCGGCTCCCTCCTCTTCATGGCTTTGTCGCCGGGCGGCCTCAGCTTGGCGAGGGGCGGCAAGCTCTGCCGGTACAGAGTCCTCTCGGGGATGCGTGCCGCGCAGTCCGAGGTGGGCCGCTCGCTGAGCGAGGGCCCGGTGCGGCGCAGGATGAGCTGCACGTCGCTCGCGTACTGCCCCCACTTGTTCAGCGACACGATGGGGTTCTCGTGCGGCGCCAGGTGCCGCTCCGTGTCCCGCCATTTCTCGATGAGCGTGTACCTCCCGGTGCGGCCTGCGGGGGCAAACGCGGCCGTCAGCGCGGCAGGACGCCAGGGGGCGCTGCCGTACAGCGCGAACGCGCGGCGCGGCCGGGTACCTCAGAGGCGCTGAGGTACGGACCGCTCCCGTCGCGCTGTCCCGTGCCGGAGCCCGCCGAGCCGGGCACGGGGCCTTCCGCTACTTGTTCCAGCTACGAGGAAAACCCTCACGGTTGGAGGGGCTCGTTACAACTTCCCTCAGGAAAACCCTCCCCGCACAGCGCAGCCGCTGAGCAAGCGAATACCGACCGGCTGGCGCTGCGCACCCGAGTGAAGCTGCGCGGCGTCGGGGCTTCTCTCACATCTGATCACTGAAATTAAAGCGGTGCTGACAGCAAAGAAATACACGAAATATACATCCCTGGAGGAGGAAAATAATAGGAAAAGTTCTGCATTTTTTATACAGCCACATATCAGAATTTGGAGACAACGTTTGCTTTTAAACAGTACCATCAGTCAGAGAGGCAACTGTGACTGACTGAGCCTCAGCTCACCATCTAGTGCCCCCGGTCAGTTGGGACACTGGAGGAAGCCGTCCCAGGCCCCAGCAGCATTACAGCAGCTCACGGGGCCGCGGCAGCGCTGCTGACCTGACAAAAGTTTCACGGAGCAGAACACGGGGCTGCTGAGAGCGGCAAAAGCTGCCTGAACTGGGACTGAGCAATCTGGTCTCTTGCACTGACTCCTGCACCCGTAACAGCAGCTCACGAGTCCCCTCCGGCGTATCCTGCCTTCAGGGGGAAGCTTGAGTCCTTCAGTGACTGTGTGATCTGCCGTACAATGAACACAGTATGGTTTGCTTTTGGGGTAGGAGGAAGTACAACTTACGTTTATAGCTTCATTTGTGCTGCTAACAAACATATTTAAGAATTCAATCAGCAGCCTTTTTCCACTGACACCCTTTATGGGACGCTTTGAATGCTACATAAATACAGCAGCTGAGGTTTTCCACTATTTTTATTTTTTTCTAAAGACTCTTACTACTCTGAGCTAAAGCATTCTCCAAAAGCAAATGAGTTTCCCTTATTGTGAAAGTAACTTCACTTAAAAGCTCCAACACTGGTACAAAAAGATGTGAAAGATCAACTGCTTTTAAAGCATATGATCCTGATGAATTTCTGAACAGCTCCACAATTGACATTAACCTTAAAAACACCATTGGCTATTTTAAAATGCATTACATACATCCATTTCCATGATAGATCATAATTCAAATGAGGATTTATTTCAGCACAGAAATGCCAATAAAACCTGTCGCACATGCACCTATGGTGTGGAGGAGTTAGAATAAATATCAGTGGTAAACCATTTGATGCATTTTCTTTCCTTATACCACTCACCCAAACACCACACTTCTTCCAAAAGACGAAAAATACCCTAATCTCAGGCTGGAGATCTGCCTCTGGCCCCCAGCCTCAGCACTTGCACAGATTCCCCACCTCAAACTTGCAGAAGACAAGCTCCACCATGGTGATTAATGCACAGTGTGGCCCCCTAAAACCTGATATTGTCAGACCAGCCTTATAAAGAGCTCTCTGGGATATTACTACTGTATTGGAAATGGTTCTTCTAATCTCACTTTCTCACCATTAGAAATTAGCTCCCAATAGAAAGAAAAACAATGACAAAAAATCAGCTGCTCAGGCAACACCTAGAGAACAGGCTGCTTTGGCTCATAGTCGAGGGAGGTAGCTGGCCAAGTAAGAGACCAAAATGTCCGTATTCACTTCCAAGTTAGGGGTGAGAGCTGGAAAAGAAGATGAAGATCTGACTGACAGCAATCAGCAAAACAAGGCAAGCAGCATGAGAACAGCAATCCACTACCCCAATGCCCTATAAATAAATTACTTGAGGTAAGCAGTGAGAGAAAAAAAAAGAGGAGAAAAAAAAAGTAACAGTATATCAACATGCTTGGCCAACACTCTCAGAAACAGATTAAGGTTTATTACAATAAAGTACTTCAAAACCAAACTGACTATGCCCAGATACAAAGTCAGAGATTTTTGCCAACCCACAATATCGTTCATTGATCCATGAAGATTTATAGTTTGTAGTAGGCATCAGTGTTGTTATAGGAAAAATAAATCTAGTCCTGCTTGCCACAGCACACTAACAATAAAATCTCAGAGAAGAAAGATGGAGTAAAACATACCACAGAACCCAGGACAAAGGTTGCACTTCACCACTCTACTTTGTTAATCTTAAAAGCTTTTGGCTTTCAGCTTGTAATCATGGTAATGATACTAATGTTCTTCTTGCGTCAGAAACAGCCAAGTTCAAATTCTTGAATTTGTAAACAAGAGTTCATACCACTAGAGGAGTGATCACCGTGCACCTTCTTCTCACTTTGCTATTAAATGCACTACTTAGAAGACATTTAACAAGAGGCAAAGAAAAAGGAAAAGGAAAAAAAGAAAAAGAAAGAAAGAGGGAAAAAGGAGGGGAGAGGGAGTAAAGCTAACAATCTCAATCAAAAGTAAATTCAGGTATTAAGCAAAACACTTGCAAAGAACTATTTCCATCTTAGCTCAGGGTTCCAAATCAACATGCTGTCCTAAACAATGACCTCAGAACTCAAGATCCACATAAAAGAAAGTGTTCTGTAGAAGTAATACTTCCACAGTTCAATTACCACACCTGGAGCTCAGTGTTGGTCTAAACCAAAGCTGTCCTCGTCTGTAATCATAACTTAGGTTTTGTGTGTTCAGCCTATGTATGATGCAGATTGACATCACCTGGACAACCACAACTGTGATGTTTGTTTGCATTAGAAGGGATTAATTCACAAATGAAAGGGAGACTGACTTAATTCAAAACTAATGACAGAATATTTCAGAACACAGGCATCCTTGTAACAAACAGCTGGTTTGATGTGCTACCACTGAAAGGAGAAAGCAGCTTGCTTGGGTTGTTGACAAAGAATAGTTCAACACCTGCGTGCTGCTTCTTGTCTTGTATGTTGCCCATAAGCTTTCTAAAACAAGAGATTGTTTGTGCTCCTACAGCACCTGGCAGAACTCAGTCCTGCCTCATTCATGCAAACCCTATCATTTTAAAAATTAGTTACTGTTATATTCATGCAATGCGCTCCTTATCAGCAAGGCACGGCACTCATTAAACCATAGTGTGCTTTTCACAGCTGCTTACTGAACACATTGAATCTCATGCAGATTTATGAAGTACTTCCAGGTAAACCTGGATGAGCAGTTAAGCAGTCAGTTCAAGGAGCTGCCAAAGAACAGCTTTAGTTATTGTACCGATGTTCACAATGGGCATGTGCCTTGTCAGTGGATCCTTTACAACATCTGAAATCAAGCTTTTCTTTCAGAGTATGTCAAGACTAGGACATACCAGATTTTTTTTCTTTTTTAATACTTCTATCAAAGCCTTGCACTTATGAGAATGGTAGAGAAAACAATGCAGCCAGCCCCAAATAAGCACCAGCAGTGCTGTGTTCCCTGTTTCCATCTTCAGAAAACAGCAGTTCCGGGGTTGGAAAAAGCACAGAGCCTCTACATCCGCTTCACAGACCAGCTACTTCTCATTAATACTCTGTGCTGACCCACTGACCGTATAATGATTCCCGCCCCCAATGGACAATATAATATTACCATCGCAAAACAAGCATCAAGAATTTGTATCTATTTATATCTGTTTTGCAAGACAGCAAATGACAAGCTATAACAGAAGTAGGTACATATTTATAGACATAAAGCACACTGCACAAAGGGCCAGTGCCAAGGTTAACAGGTCAAATTCACACCTACAGCTACCTAAACATACAAACTTATCACAGGCTCTATTAATGCAGGGACATTCAAAACAATCTTTTATTTTAAAAGTGAGAAAGAAGTCAAAAAAGGAACACTGATGTTCTCATAGCCTGCAACTAGCTGTCCTAAGTGGTTTGAACCTGGTTCTAATGCCACCACTTACCACTTAATCCCTGAGACATTCAAGAGCTAACTACAGCCAGCATCCTGGGTCAGCCACTGCTCTGCTCTATGACCAAACAGCAAGCTCTGGGCCTGAGTGTCCATGTCATGTGCCCAACCACTGTAGTCTTAGCCTGGGATTGATGTAATTTGGTAATTTAAACACAGATTCCATTACAATGAATGGTGATTAAACTAATGAAATATAGGAACAAGGTAATTGAACTTTTTTATTTTTTTTTTAAGACTCTCAGGAGGTAGACTTCTAAATTACACTTCATGAAGGCAGTAGGATCCATATAACTATTATTCACTTTAAGCTTCTCTGTGTGCTCTAGTATTTGCAGCTGACATAGTAGACATGAGTGGTTACCTCTGCTGCCAAAAGTCAAAATTAATTTCCAAAGGAAAGAAGCAGTAGCAGTGTTTCTCATGCAACACTTTTGGCAGGACTGTAACCTGACAGCTCATCGATACTGGTTTTCAGAACAGGAAAGATTCATCCCTTTTCTCCCTCCCCAAAGTGCAACATCCTTTACATTCAAAGCATTTCAGGGACAGGGATTACATTTTTGGTAGGTAGCACGATACACCATTTAAAACCAACTCTGTGCCTTATCTTTCCAGTCTGGCTACAAAAGTTTATTTCAGGCACCAAGATCCATCTTTTCATTAAGTGTCTCTCATGCTGCACAGACAGGATCTGCAGCACTGCGTCAGTGCAAGCAGGTGAGTCACTGCCCTGGTCTGAGGTAATTTACAGGAAAGATGGCTAGAAACATGAGGGTACCTCTCCTTCCCTAGGGAAGGGGTGAGGCTGGGCAAGAGCAGGCCTTTATCTCTACAGGTCATGCAGTCTTGTGCCCAGTTTCTCCTCCTTCCCCAGGACCATCAGGATGCACTTGGTGTCAGGGGAATTGCCTGGCAGAATACTCTTAGTTCCCATTTTTCCCCTGGGATGCCACCACCTCTGCTGCTGCACAGCAGCTGTGCCAAAGACCTGTCCTGCAAGGTGGCATTCTGGACAATCTTAAATAAAA